CTAAACAGATAAAATATCACTGCAGCTTTGCAAAAACAGAATCAATAAGACATTAATGAGAATTAAGCTCTTGAGAGGTTGACAGAATGTATTTATCCCTAAAACGGGTATTATAATGAACCTTATTTTTTTCACAGACTGTGGCCATGATACACCCCACCACTCCAGCCATGATACACCTGGGGGAATTCCAGTGAATTAAGCAGTGGTCTAAGGTTGTTTTTTTTTTTTTTTAAAGTAGAATCCCTGAAGGATCTTTTACTAACAATTCAGGGAGGCACTTTCAGCTAAAATAACAGAGCTTGTTTTGGAAGCAGGTCTAACCCTGGATCTCTCGGGAACTTTCTTTCCAGTTGTTCAGATTCTGGTCTGACACACTTACTTGTACAAATCTAAATTTAATAAATGTGATTTTTGGTCCCAGCTTCAACTGTGACATAATTGCTTTTCAAAATGTGTGGAAGAAAACCATCTAGAATGGAAAACCAGGTTTGAGCCCTGGGAACTAAACTCAGATGTTGGTGGCGATGTGGTGGGAGAAAACTCCCTAAGGTTCGTTATTTAGCTGTAATAGGGACTAGACAACGCGGGTAAAGAACTGATAGTCATTTATTTGCTCGAGCAAAGATCATTAAGCCAGCAAAGAGGCAAAATGGCCTCCCCTCGAGGGTGAGGCGATCTTTTACACTTTTTACAATAAGGCAAGACTACAGGGTTAACAAAAGCAATACTTGGGCAGTGCTTTACAAATTTTCATAACAGCATATTTCTATTAAGCTGAACTAGTACTTTTTAAAAGCTAAAAGTTAAGTAACAGTAACATTATGATACATTAGCAAGAACTTGCAGTGGTAGATACTTCTTAAGGACACGATCACTGTACTTAGAACAATGGTTTCTTTGTCTTATCTTGTTCCTTGCTGTATGTGGTTTACAGCACATAGATACAGATTTACTTGCTGCATTTTACTCAGAAAATGCTTAACACAGTTAAAATGATTACTTGACATAAGCAAAGGCTTAGCTATCATTCTGCCTTGAGGTCGGCGGCATTGTTAGGCCACAGGTCATGCCTTGTATTCAGCTGCAAAGCTAATACTTCTTAATAATCCAAATTATTGTTAACCTAACAGTATGCTATTAGAAAACTATTCTATTTCAGGGTAATAACAAACATGCTCACTACAATCCCCACTTTGTTCCAATTTTTCAGAGGAAATTTTGGAACGCACTTTTAGGTATTTAACTTCTTGTGGGGTTAGGTTTTGATGAATGTTGCTGGATATTTGTACAAACTGACCATACATCTTTACTTGCCTTTGCATAAACTGTTGTCCTAGAGAGCATAAACACTGAAAACAGTACAACAGTCAGATTACAGTTATAACAATTCCGATTAAGCTTAATACAAAAGGTTTAAGCCATCCTGTAAGGGAAGGCAACTAATTAGTGAGTCAACTAAGAGATGTATCTTTGGGGATTTTAGCTATATCTTCGGCTTTTTGGATATGGACAGCTGCATTATTGAGGTGGGTTTGTACTATGGTAAAAGAGCTGTTAACTTATACACAACATTCTGGTCCGATAACAGCACAAGCTTCCCCTTGAGCAGCACGGAGAAAATCAAGGGCTATACAGTTTTGCATTATTATTTGTTGGAGTTCTTCTTGGGTGTTAGCCAAGGCAGCAACGGCCTTCAAGAGGTCTTTGTGACCTTCGTTGAATTTGTGAGCTATGATTTTTATCACAGTTTGGAGGCATAATGTAAATTTTTCAAGACACACAGTGCCTATTCCTGGAAGCATACTTGCAAGGGAACACCTGAGTAATACTCCCTTGGTAAGTTGAGCTTTTTGATATTTGTCTACTATATCACGGCTTTCTTGCAAATCCCTCCTGTTTCGCCACCTGCCCTGTGGCAGGTGCGTGGCAAAGGACGTTAAGGGTTTTAGCAGTGCCGGATAGCACAGATACCTTTTTCTTTGGCAGGGATTTTATGATAGGCGTGGGAGCTACAGACCCAGTATTGTCTTTTGAAAGTAGCGAGGTTTGAATACTTAGGAGGTATTTGGCTACCATTTTTTAGTTCTAACACTCCGTGCTTACCCTTTGATTTAAAGGAAGGATTTGCAGTTTTATTGAAGAAGCATTGTTCCCGGGAGGTATTAGTGTACAAACAATACTACAAAGTATTATTTAAAGAGGAGATGGGGGTACAGATAGGATTAGTGCCCTTGGTTAAAATTTTGCTGCTGTAGAAATTATTGTAAGAGCTGCAACAGGTAGGAGTTGCTGTATCATTATTACGCCAGTCTCCTCTAATTGAACTAGTAAAATAGTGGTGACATATGCTGGTGCCTAAATTGATGCAGTTTGATACTGAGCAGTTTATATAGAAACACCAATCTTCAACAACAGGCTTTACTAAAAGGAACTCTTGCTGACTTTGGTCCTAAGCTTGGTTATTAGAGGGGTTTAAAAGTGACTCGATGGGGCCCAAGGGGATGGGAGT